AATGACTTTAAGTCTTCATTACGAATGCTTAACTGAAAATTCCTGATTATTGCAACGCAATTTTTTATTAAACTTTAAATATATAGTGTCATTCTATTGTATCAAACATATAGATTGTTAACTTTACCACAAGTTAATTAATTATTAATTAATAATTTAACAAATTCCAAAGCATAGCAAAAATGTGTTATAACTTAGGTGACAATCCAGCAGATCTTAAATTAAAGCTCTATATTTAAAATATATAAAATGCTTATTTAAACCAAGTAATCAATTTTCAAATTTGATATTTTCGGACATTTTGTTCAAACTAGTGAAAAAAACTCGATTTTTTTATTAAAGTTTGCCATCTATTTAAAAAAAAAAAATTAATTAGCATAAGCACCATTTCAAAATTTTCGTTTTTCTTTCTTTTTTCCCCAACACATATATCAGCTAAAATTTTCAGTTGATACGTTATATCACTAGTAACAATATGAAAAAGAATTATATATTGGAAAAGAGCTGAGAAACAATAATTAATATCTAAGACAAAAAGCTTATTTTCATCTAAGTTATGTAGATAAAGAAAATAATTACAAGTCTTTATCGATTTTTTGAAATTTCTAAAAATAAAATTAATCATTCTTTCCTTGAGCCCTTTAAGGAAAAATAATTAGTTAGATTAAAAAATGAGTGAAATAAATATGAAATTACATCTATATTTTTCAATTTGATTGGCATAATTATAAATTTTTCTATTACTGCATTTTAAGTACGATTTAAAATGGAGAGAGAAATAACCTTGTAATAGACTGAAATTTTGCGTGCGACTTATCTCTATTTGTGTTCGGTTTATATATTTGTAAGTAAGCTAATTTGTATCTCAGATTACGTTATCATTTCGAACCAATTTCTAAAAACTCTTGACTATTGAAATATAATTTCTCATTGAACGTTTGAAAAATTTGATGCCATTCTTTTGTATTAAATATATAACTTGTAAACTTTACCACTAATCTAAAGATTTCTTTTTTGGCAATATCGTTGCGTTAACAAATTATATTGTCGCAAAAGCCTCAAGCTACATTGATAAGAAAATTATCTCAATTTTAAGATTAAAAGTTTTCTGATAACATTGTTTACTTCAATGGATTGCGAACATACGTTTTCAGAAAGCAGTACCATTAATTTTGTTTTATACTTTGATTCTTATATGATTAAATAATAGAATTTCTATTCTATTTCGTAATCCTTTTCAGGATACATTTTTCTTTAGACTGTTATATTGTTTTACTTGGTCAAACTTGGAGAGAAAAAAAACAACTAAAATAAAAATTTGCTGATGATAGTATTTTTTTTTCTTTCTGGTACTAATAAATTTATTTAATTTGCATACATATTTTGTTGATCTCCGAACAAAGCTCAAGCTCTAAATAAAATTTTGGTTTCACTATTTAATATCATTCCTTTCGGCAATCATTGAGCATACAAGTTGCTATTACGTGTGGAATGCTCCCCACAAATGACACACGTGGAGGAACATCGGACTATTTTCATTGGTCACTTTCCGTGTTATTTTTCCCTCTAGGTAGCCTGAATAAGTTGTTTAGATCGTGTGATTTAATGCTTTTACACATTTCTTTTTCCAAAAAGTTAAAGGTTTATCTGAATAAAGCCATGGCCACATAAGTCTTGAAGGATTATAGTAAATTTTGCATTAACAGCGATACAGCCGCATTCGGAAAACATCGAAACAAATGCAGGAAAAACCAAAAAGGCCTTTGCTCAGAAGTAATTATTCCTTTCGTAATTTCAGTTTGATATTCGAAGATTAAATGAAGTTTTACTTTTTGTGGCATTGAATTCAACTCATATCAACTTCAGTTTCGAAGAAAACCTCTTTAAATAGTAACAAATATGAGAAAATATTACTCTTTCATCAAATGTTGGTAAATGCCTTAGAAAATTTATCTGTTTTTTTTTTCAAAAAAAAAAAAAAAAAAAAAAAAAAAAAAAAAAAAAAATAGAAAAAAATAGTTGAGCAGTTTTGGAAATCGGATAAAATGTGTATCTCATTTATAAAAAAAAAGTTTGAAAATAAAATTATTCAAAAACTAAATAAAATATTATTACAAGAAACTAGAAAGCGTATTTGACTATTTCGAAGAATGAACTTCGACTTATAAAATTTATTTTTTAATGTTAAGTTTTAAACTACACTTAAAAGTGTAGTGTAAAAGCTTTTATCAACACTTAAGATCGCAAAACCTCTTTTAAGGAAGAGGTTTTTAGGTCAAATTTTAATTTTTCATCAGGGTATCTTTGTAAAAAATACATAATGATGCCTTCATTTATTTACCTCAAAAATATTTCTAACTTCAGTACACTTTAGTTGTTTCAACACTTTGAGGTTTTTTAGTAAATTGCTTGAATTATATAAACATATCTTTACAAAATTGTAAAATAAGTTGACTCAAAGATCTTATTATGCAAAAATTTTATTTAAACATTATTTTCAGCATCTCCTAATTACTTCTTTATAAAACTACTATTATAACCTAATATTTATTGAAAAAAACTTTTCATTCTTAGATATACCAATATCGTGAAAAAGAATTTTGGTTAGTTGATGGACTTTTTTTCTTTCGAAATTGGTGAAATTACTATTTGTTGAAGAAGAATTGGTTGTTTGTGGGAAACAGTGCTCGAAGAAATATGTTGATGAATAGTAGAAAATTATTTTTATCTATTTATCCAATTATTCTCTTGCTCTTATTCTCTTACTCTGGAGAGTGATGAAGAATAATGAAGAATCAAACTAGAATAGTGATTAGAATGGACTAGTGACTAGAAATGACTAGAATAGTGAAGAATCAAATTCGTAGTGAAGTAGTTCTAGTAGTGAAGAATCAAATTTGATAAATGATAAAAATATTTAATTTTTGAAAATATGGAGCTCCATTATAATAAAAATCTTAATGCACGTATATTTTACTAAATAATAAATTTTGGAAATATCCCCGGAGGGAGGAGGGTGTTGCTGCAGGGCCAAGCCTACAAGACACCTCGTGCATCAAGGGGAAAAAAATGCAAGTGATATGTATATGTCAGAATAGTTTTCGCCAAGAAAAGTTAAGAATCCAGTTATTGGCTATTAATTGCATTAATTTAATGCCAGGACTCCTTTTCTTAGCCATACACGTATTTAAATGTGTTAACAAAAAAGAAGGTGTGAGAAATAGTAATGAATTTTAATAAAATCACAAACATTTAGCAACCATATAACGGTTTTCTAAATCTATGCTAATGTGTTAGGCAGATGTAGAGGCAGTCCTTAAAAATAGATTTTATTCTGTACTAAAGTCAAGGTTATTGAATAAAAAGATTACCCAATTAAATTTATGATTTTTATCTTTTGAAAAAAGGATTAAATAAAATAATAATTTACTTTTCAAATGTTAAGAGATATGCATATTTCTGCATTACAATCAATATCGAGATTTTCTCTTTTTTTCCTTCTTTTTTTGCAGTTTCATATTTCAAAATTTAATATTCAACCAGTGAAGTAAATTAAGCTAGTCTGTGGAGCAAAATTCAGTAATTGAATTCGGATGGACAACTTATTCACCGGATCTTCTCTATCCAGTATCCAGGGAATATTAATTAAAATTGTATAATTTTTTGCTGTAAATATTTCGTGTGCTTCCTTCACCAAAAATCATATTAAAATTAGTAAAAGTTTATCGACACATTTTATTGAAATAAAAAAAAATAAAAAACATACACTCACACTTACAAAGACAATCACGCGGTAAATCCTTCATGTTGTCAGGTAATTAAAAGATTTTGAGATTTCCCTTGCAATTAAAAGATTTCCAGTTTTCCTTTATGGTCAAAATATTTAGGTTTCTCTTCAGCATTTAAGTATTATTTTGAACAGAAAATTAACTGGCATATAGATCCGTGTTATTAATAAAATTTTATGTATGCAAAAGTTTAATTCAAACCGATTATATTTTCAGACACTTACTATATTTGATAAAAATTTATATTACGTTGACTTTTGAATCCACGTGTTAATTCGTACTTTTTTTAAAACTGTACCATTTGTTTAAAACTTTCTTGTTTTTTACTCATTAATATTTTAATTATACCTCCGATAAACTTTGAAATAAGATAAGTCAAATTGTCTAAAGAAGCATTTTTAAAAGTGTTTTTGACCCCGATTTCCATGATATTAATTAGATATTCCTCTGCATTGTACTATCACAAAATTCGGAAACTTATAAAGTACCTATCTGAAAACAATATTAAGAAGCAGTTTAATATCAAAATTTTGGTTTATCAGATTACTGCCTTAAGCTCTATAGTTATATAACTTAAGGCAAACGGCATTTTTTCAAAATAGATAATAAATTTGATAATAATTTCTGTAACTTTGGAATATGCCTCGTGAAATTACATTTCATTTTTTATCTGTTTTTATGCTTTTAAACATTATTTAACAACAAGAAAACTGGTTTTAAACTAGAAAATTAATAGCTTCTTACACTCTAAATTAAATTTGTGATATGTTCAAAAATCATTGTTCTTAATTTTTTTAAGTGCAGCAGTTGAATTATATAAAAATGAAATAATATGAAAATATGCAAAATAATAAGTATTCACATCATTTTTAATTCGGATATTTTGTATTAAAATGAAACATAGATTATGAAAATTTCTTCTACATGGCAAATAAAAAACCGGAATTCAAAAGGAAATTATTTGCGGATTAAATTTTTATTGTGAGGTTTACTTTTGAATTTTCTTTAACTTTCTAAGTTCATCTAGAATATTCTTTTCTTTTTATCTATTTGCGGAGAATGTTCTCAGCTACTTAACACTGATAAAATTTAAACGCATCATGTGGCTAGGTCAATTATAGTAACCATTACGAATTGAAAAATAAGATAAATGCAGTAATGATCACGTGATTAATATTTTATTGTAACTATCTATAGAAACTGTGATAAAATATATTTTTAAATACATTGTGAACATCATTTGACTGACACATTGATATGATGTGTCACCCATGATAATAATACTCACACTAATATGCCACGCCACTATCATTTCCTTTTACATGCAGGTCGATGACTGCCGTAAACATGCATTAGCAAATTATCTATTTATGTCACAGTATTTAAGTAAAGAATAACAGCTAACCAACTTTGTGTACAGTGATTAAAACAGTGTAAAAGCAAAATAAACTATCCTTTTATGAAAAGCGTAGAAATATAGGAAAATGTATGCTAAAACTACTTATACAAGATCAGATGCAGAAGATGCAAAACAGGATGAAGAACTTATGCGACAAATATGGCGAATGGAAGAAGTGTATGAAAAATGTGAGTATAAAAAAAGAGGCTATATTTACTACTTGTATTGATGGAGTTTTTCGTTAAGAAAAATAGGACATATATCATTAATTTTTAATTCGAAATCATTAATTTACAAATTTGATAATTAATAATTTTTTTTCAATGCATTGATTTATCCATATACCTTAATACGATGGTTTCACTTGTTGAAATATACCACCCAGTTACTATACGAAGAAGATCAATAATTAATATCTAAGACTAACATTTTACTCGTTTAAGTCATTAATAGATATAATTTATTTAAAAAAAATCACAAGATATGATCTATAAATTTTGCTATAGTGGATTTGTTAAATGATCTATAAATAAAACTAAATATTCTCTCTACGAGCCCTATATGGAAGAATAATTAGATTGATTCTATTTATGTGAAAGAACGGAATAAATATAGCAGTATATTTTTTTCAATTTGATTGGCATCTTTTCTTCAACTGCGTGTTAAATACGACTTAAAATGGAAATTCTCCCATTCTTTTTACATCCAGAGGCAATAAAGTCGAACAAAAAGCAATATTTCAAGAATATGCAAATGCTACTTCGAACATCGATTTGTAAGGTACAACTAAAAGATGAGATATGTTCGCTAATAACACCTTCTCCTTTGCAAATGATGGTCTTCTTTAAGTTTTATCGATTTTCAACCATGACAGATTTGCTTCGGGAAAAAGAAGCTTTTTTATCTTTTGTTTTGTAACCAAATTATTTATTCATAAGATTAATTTATTACAGTCAATTAATCGATAATTAGATGCCGGAAGCTTCTTTCGCTTCAGATTGAAAAGAAATTGTTTCGGATTGATGGAATTTACAAGAGGAAGGAAATTAAGTTTTTTCAGAGAAGCTCAGCATCTTTCGCTGAACTCGCAAGTGTTATGGTGAATTAATTGTGTCATTTATAATGATTACTGCAATAGAAAAAAAAAGGATTTTTAATCTCTATTTCAGTATAAAATGTGATTAAAAAGTACTTGCTTTAGCACTTTTATTTTTGTATATTTCGAGCTTTAGAAATTAAGTTGAAATACTTCTTATCTAATTTTATTAAGTTGAATGCTTAAACATTTCAATTCATTTTCCTCGCATATAATTCTGTATGTAATGAAAATTATTTAAAGTTTCAATTTGGAAAATGTAAAATTTTCGGAAACTTTTTCTTGGATAGGCTAATGCCTATATACAGCATCACAACATACCACCGCAATTAATGATCGTCATTGTCAATAATCCTTACATAAAGCTATATTACTAACTTCTATTAAGTTGAATCAAAAACTTCGTCCGGTCTAGCCTGTTCCTCGCTACCCGGTTTAAAAATTTTTTTATAAACCTTAAAGATCTTAATCTATAGTCCAAAAGAGTTCAGAGCACATTTTTTTAATGTAAATTTCTAAAAAAAAAAAATTAATAAAACAATTAAATTTAAAAAGAATGTGAAATAAAAATTAATAAAATATTTTAAATAAAAAATAAATAAAAAAATTAATAAAAATTTAAAAACGATTAAAATTACAAAAGTAATTTAATATTTATAAATCAATTAAAATTTAAAAAAAATAATTCAAATTTTAAAAATAATTCAAATTTAAAAAAAATAATTCAAATTAAAGAAATTAATTCCAGTTAAAAATTCATTAAAATTAAAAATGTAATTGCATTTAACTGCATTATTTTTGAAAAAAAATGTTTTGAAAGCTGTTTTACATCAATACAGGATTTATAAGAGCATCTTCCTACTTGTACTGTTCATTTATTAAAAGGAGATTCCTCAGTATTAATTATTATGATTAGGAAATGAAGATAAGGTATACCTTGTACTACATATAGATGTAGGTAAACAACGTGAATAACGCATATATTATGGCACAAAAATAGACATGCTATAGTTTCAGTTCTATAAACAGGAATTTCTCTCAGTGTCGAAACAACGTGTTTCGATAGACAGAAAGGTTCTAGTTTATAGTTTTCTTGTAATAACTTTTTGTGTTTTAAAACTACGGAAGGTTCTTGTTAACTGAACAGGCACTACAGCTTGTCTCTTTTTGCTTTTAAATGGACCCAAAACACAATTTATTTATTTATCTATTCATTTGCTCACTTATTTATTTGTTATTGCGTTTTGGGTCTATACTGAACAAAACTTACATTTCATTATCAAAAATTAAATCAGACATACTATATTTCGGATAAACATACATTGAGTTATGAATTTCATATCTACACTATTAAGTTTTATTCCAGGCATTATACTTCAGGATTGATCAAATAAATCTAATCCGAGCCAAAACAAACATGGTATACCTTAGATCTTGTGAACAGTATTAAAACAAGGAAATAATAATAAAAGAGGTGGTATAAATAATAGTCTCTCAGTTAGTGAGGATTATTCGCATAAACTTTACCATTAAACGTTTCATAAAAGTAATAAGCTTTGGTTTTATTATGCCCATCTCGTATTCAAAATTATATTTATTGCTTTAGATTGGTGAGATTAAAAAACACTTGCATATTTTTTTTTCACGGCTCATACTTAATCCATATAGTCAACAATGTATTCCCAGACGATTATCAAAGAATATATACAAAATTCTTCCCTCATTAAATCCGAGAAAAAGAGCAACAATTACTCGCTAAAAAAGTTCATTCTCATTTTATAATATTGTTCCAAACAAAACATTCCATTTTGCTCAATAATCTGAAATCTCATTAAATGCGGGCTTGTTATAAGATGCTTTTACTATACGTTTTACTAACGTTACAGCTTACACTTGCAAAAAATCCACTTTGAAAAATACATTGTAAAAAAGAATAGAACTATAATTAGTGCGATTTGTTACTTATGCCTAGTTGTTTTGCATGCATATTATATTACATGTTTGTACTATAACGGCATATATTCGAGTGAAAGTTAGTAATTCTTTCACTCATCGAAAGTTAGTAATTCTTTCACACTGTAAAAAATACCCGTTGTTTTTTCGGAATTTCTCCGTATATTTAACGGTTTAAAACCGTTTTGTTGACAAAACGGTTTTTCTCCGTTCTCCACCCTAATCACAAACGGTATAGCGGTTTATCGGAAATTCTGGTTTTCAAAATTACAGCTCTTATTATAAGACTTTTAGTAAAAAATACCAAACTGAAAAGTAAATTTTACCAAATAAATGGTTTTTCTGTTATGCTCTAAGTAATCATGATAAAACTATCAAATTTTACCTCATTTACGAAGCTTTATCACATTATACAAAACCATATCTTATTGTTAATTTTACCAAAACCATTACCAAAGCGCTTCAAATTATCGAGCTTTTTGATGTTTCCATAGAGTCAGAAACACGGTAAATTCTATATATTCTGGTAGTTCGATAAATACATTTTGCTCATTGCATTATTACATAATTAATTGAAAACTTTTTAATAGATAACGTCAAGCTAAAATTTATAAGGGGGAAAATTTTTTTATTTTATCACATTGCTATGAATGAAATTTATTAAAATTTTATTGGTTAAATTTTTCAATTTTGAAAGTTTGACCGAGTCAGTAATTCACTCTGGTTTAAAAATCAAAATGTAAAAACTAATATATTCTTTCATTTTCTCAAATTAGATGGTATTTTCTTATTTTGTAAATATTTTCTTTGTTTCATAATTTTATATTTTATTAAAATCACTAAATGAGTAATTTATAGTAAAGTATTTAATTAATGGAGATTTAGAGATAGACAGTCATGTAATTATTTTTTTAATACAGAGAAACAGATACCTATATATGCATAAATATATACACACTTAACAGCTACATTTTACTTAAGAAGATATTATTGAAAAAGTTTTTTGAAACATAATTAAAACACGCTAATTACTCTTGCCATTAAAAAAACCAACAATTTTCTACTTAAGATGACATTCTTTTTCCAATGTTTTCACTTTTAATGGAATAAAATTTAATTTTACTATCAACAGAAAAAGTCAAGTAACTTTATTGAAACAATTTTGTTTTAATTTCCATAATCTCCAATTTTTTGTCCGGTGCTCTTTATTAGAAAATTGTTCAAGTACCATGTAAAGCTTGAAAATGAAATCAATAGCAAATGGAAAAGATAAATCATTACCAAAAATAAAAAAATAACTTCTGCGAAATATGAAAAGAAAATTATTGTCTGGTAGCTGTCTAGTCATGACGTTAAAACCAAGGCTGACGATCCAGATAAAAAAAAATGATAGGAAGATTCAAAACGTAATGTCTAAAAGTTAAAATAAAATAATTAAGATAACTTTATTTTTTTCAGTAAGATAAAAACAGCAATACTTTATATCATTCCTTTTTCTAAAATCATTTTACGCTAACATTTATTAAAAAGTCATAAAATTGAATATTTTTTTAGTGTCTCTTCAATTATTTTCTTTTTTTTTTCAAACTGTTGCTTTATATTTGTATAGATTATAATGCACTTAAGTAAAGGGTTTTCACTTTTTATCTAAAAACTAACCTTTAATCCAATTTAATTTCTTAAACCATTATCACAATGAAATTTTCTAAAAAATATATATAAAGAGGGAAATAATTATATTTTTATACTTGAAATTATTTAAGAGGATTTTGCAGAATAACAGCATGAGCTGAATAAAACAAACAAAAAAGCATCATTTTCGCCCAGTTTGTATTTACTTATGTCATATTAATCTCCACGAAAGATTACTTATTCAGAAATTAAGAAAATTTGTCGAAAAAGATCAAAACTTGTTTTTCTATTTTTAGTCCATTAATCCTTATCATTTTTTACCACATACAAAGTAAAATAGCTGAACACCTCAATAATTTTTGATTTAAAAAATTCGTCATTTTCGATCAGTTTTTATTTATTTATGCCATATTAATCTTCATGAAAGATAACTTATTTAAAAAATAAGAAAATCTGTCGAATAACTTGCTTTTCTATTTTTAGCCCATTAATACCCTGGGAGGAATT